GGGGGGGACTGAAGGAAGGATTGCGGGACGGAAGAGGACTGCTGGTGCTCACGGTGCAGTGGAGGCCCGCGCAGCTACAGTGGTCGCGCTCGGGGACAATGCTGGACTGAAGCCCTTCGCCCACTATCCTTGGAAGGATGGACACGCATCGGAGTGGAGCTCCGCAACCGCTTAACCACTCTCATAATGTCATAGCGCCGTTTACCGGGGTATTACGCTATGCCCGACAGTATGGCTATCGTAGCTCCGCAAGGCCCGCGATGACACACCAGGCCCGAGCGCCGTTTAAAAATATCTTTTGGGGGGCAAAAAAAAAAGCCCCACGGGTGCTGTTCCACAATCACAGCAAGAGACACGCGTGGGTGAAATAGGAGTCACGCATCCATGCACGCGAGCACGCACGCACGTCAACACGCGCGGACTCGCCACTCACCGTGCAGGCCGAGCTCAAGGACATCAGCATCAGCATCAGTGGGCGGGCGGGCGGAGAGCCACAATCCCCAGTTAATCTTGCGTGAGCGTGGAGCGGAGAATGTCCCGGCCCGGATGAGAGAGGATGCACAGGAGGGCGGGAGGAGGAGGGGTTGTAGTGGCGGTGTTGGTGGTGGAAGAGGAGGAGGAGGACTGTGAGTGGGCTGCTGCAGCCTTACAGTCCGATGGAGGAGAGGGGATGAAAGACAAACACGGGTGCTGATGAATATTCCACTCCGCGCTGTCACCTGACCGAGGGTCGGCCGAGTTCTGCGGCTGACGGAGGGAGAGAGTGAGCGAGAGAGAAAGAGAGAGAGAGGAGAGAGAGAAGAGAGAGAGAGGAGAGAGACGAGAGAGGAGAGAGGAGAGAGAGAGAGAGAGAGAGAGAGAGAGAGAGAAAGAGAGAGATTCGCCGGGTTTGCCTCTCTTGCGTTGCGGGTGGGGAGGGGGGGTGCAGTATTTGTCGGTGCTTACCGCTTGTGATGCTGCTGCTGCTGATGATGGTGGCGGTGGCGATTAAAATGACGGGGCCCAATGCAGTGAAGAGTATCGGAAAAGAAAAGAAGTAAAGAAAGGGCGCGCTGACAGGAGATGCTCCTGCGACATCTCTGGAGGAGGAGCCCGCGCGCACAGGAGCCTGCTCGCAGCATCCACAGGCAGGAGGAGGAGAAGGAGGAGGAGGGGGGTGCCTACGTCACAACCTCTTCCTCATACACTCCTCTGCGTGGTGACGACAACGGGCACACCGCAGCACAGTGAAGGATATTGCCGATTATAGAGCCAATTAATTGAGGAAAAGAAATAAAAATCACCGACAACAAAGCATCATGTCTTCAAACTCTCTTGAATGACTGTAGGAAGAGGGGTGAATGCATATATCAACCAAGGGCTTTATTTGTTTTTAAATCCTATTCTGAAATGAAAATGAGATCCGACACAAACAATATAATCCAAAGTATATTATTGCCTTGTTTTATGCAGCGGTGGAGTTGGAGAGTGTCACTGAGTCATATAAGTGCTAAAGTAGACAAACCCAGTCGCGCTCGGAGATCTGCAGAGTTCAAAGCAAACAGGATGGTGAAGTGGCATTTAGCTGTTATGCTGCACACAAATAGAATAAGATGCCCAGAGACGTAAATATAGACCCAGGTGTGATTGGGTTTTTTCTCTCTCAGAAAAAAAAAAAATATCACGTCATATTGACAAATTTATATTTGAATATTGAGTAACTTTTAATGGCAAAATGTCTTGACCGTTATGTGTCCCAAATGAAGTTTTTTGATTTACAATGTATATCTTCTGAAAATGCTACTTCCTCTTGCAAAATATGACTTAGTGTCATCAGTTCTTTAAAACAATTTTGGGGGGTTCTTTTACAAATGGCCCATCTTTTTTACTCAAGCCGTCTTGCCGCTGAAGACAGCCTCATTTTGTTGTTTCAATACACCAGAGGAATCTGTGAGCCCAAGTGCCAGGATGAAGCAGACATTTTGCATTCACTAAACAGCAGACAGCAAAACAAACGGTGATATTTCTTCATTGTGCATGATATTTTTATCGACTGAGTTTGTAGGCGTTTACCAGCCTCCTTGTCCTCCTCTCTCACCGCTAAGCGTAACTAGACCAAGCTGGGGCCCAAGGCACTGTCCATGGTGCTGAAAGCTAGCACACGTTAGACCTGAAAAACAGAATAATCACTCCTTTCAATGCATGATCAATCCCGCCCCCCCCCCCCACCAGCAATGATGTACATGCACAGCTATAGTGAACTAAATATTGTCAAAACTTATTATGCAGTGAAGAGAAAGAGGAGATGTGTATTTATAGATCAATCACATGAACTTATAAATAGATCTCCTCTCCTCTGGACTGCAAACAGACACACACGTGCATACACATCAAGATAAAAAGCTTTGTTGCTGATTTGATCTTTCCCTCCTCTTATCATCGCACCATCTCCCGGAGGTGTATTAAAATATCTAAAACACTTTCATTGCAGATGCACACTCATCGGTTATAATATTTCCATAAATATAGTACCCCAAAAAAAAGTCCAGCATATTTTTTTTTCCTCTCAAGGAATAAAAAGGTGTAAATCTTATGAGATTGAAAATTGCATCTGATGGTCAAGTGACATGCGGTGCAGTACGATCTTGGTGAATGGACAATGGTGACCAACATTGGGACGTTGGCGGCCTATTTTAAGCAACCAAATGAAAAGGTGTGAAAATATTGCACGTAAGTGGTTAACAACTAATGTGAGCTAGCATGAAATCACGACTGACTGGTAGGTCAGATGAGCTTTATAAAGAGGCACAATATCCAGTGGTCATGTTGAATCAGGGTCTTCAATGGACCAACCAGTGCTCAGGGGATGAGAGCAAATCGTTCATTTGCCTCAATACAGCCATGCCTGCTCGGTTTTAGTTACATAAACAGAAATGCCCTTGAAATCAACTATTTTAAGTGAATGCCATGCCTGCTCGGTTTTAGTTACATAAACAGAAATGCCCTTGAAATCAACTATTTTAAGTGAATGCCATGCCTGCTCGGTTTTAGTTACATAAACAGAAATGCCCTTGAAATCAACTATTTTAAGTGAATGCCTCAGGACTTTCCACTTTTAAGGTCATGTGCACGTGTTGCAGCCAGCCGTGTTGATTTATATATTTATTTTCATTCTTACATCGAGTGCAAATGCGACTGAAACAGCAGACAGAGCACCGATTGATGCATTTAATGCAAACTATGTCAATAAATTCTGTGTCAGCACAGCACTGTCTCTAATGGCCCGCAGGGGCAATTGGCAGTCAGGTTGACTTTTTATGATGTGTCTTGAGTCACATTGAATCATGCAGGTTATCAGAATGAATATTGATGTTTATTAAATTGATTCGTTAAAGAATTTTTAAAAAAAGAAGGGTTTGCTAAGCAGTGGCTGCTTGTGTCATTACCGTGATTGTTTTGAAACTGAATAGTGTTAGTTTTTTCACAGTTTTCTTAACCAAACATTAGTGATGGTGTACAGGATCCCAGGTCATCAGTAAAATATATGCGTTCAGATATAATGACCCACTTGAGAAAAAAATAGATGGACAATTGAAAGTTCCTTTTTCTTTCCCTCTTTTTCTTCGCCCAATCAACCTGCCAGGCATGTTTTTGGACCGTGGGAGGAAACCGGAGTACCCGGAGGAACCCACATTGGCACGGGGATAATATGCAAACTCCACACAGGAAGGCCAGAGCCGGAATCGAACGCTGCACCTCTGCACTGTGACGCCAATGTGTTAACCAGTTGAGCACTGTGCTGCCCGAGATCAGAATTCAATTTGCAAAACAGTAAGTGCATTTCTTACATTGTGGAAAAGCTTTTTTCTTTATTAAAATCTTTCGTGCATCCCTCAAAAGTAAATATTTGTGTCAGTGAACAAGTCAGCGGGATCAGAACAACAAGTCTTTGTGTGACTGAGTATGGCTAACACAGTCCAATAGCTTAGCTACGTTGTCAATAAAAGAATGTACTTTGGAGGGATGCTCTGACGTAAACTGCCGCTTTAGTTTTGATGAAATGACTCACTATTCTAAATTGAAAGTTACACCTTCATGAGCAAAAGTCACACTTCACATCTCATTGGGATACCGAGAGGAAAAGATAGCACTGCAAAAGTAATTTGAAAAAAGTAGAAATGTGAACAGGGGAAAATCTCTAATGGGAACATTCTACATGCGACACTGTAGCAATTTCAGTGCAGTCTTCCTGCTTCCTTTGGCATACAAATGCATCCCCGCATCACAAGCATTATCTTGCTATGAGCTATTTCAGAAAACGGGTTGGTCATTGGTTGATCTAATGCTTCACACATTTCCCTTTGTTTGAAAAAGTCAAACTTCGCCGAAGGGAAAGAAAAAAAAAAGTCCAATGGAAATGCATAGAAATATTCTTAACATAGTTTGAGAATCTGTTCAACCATTTTGCATGTAAAATCCCAGTTAAACCAGCATTTTGGCATGACTTGCAGTTAGTTGTAAATCCACAGTATGTTTAGGGTCATAAACCTTTAGCATGGCGACATGCCCCCTCTAATCGTTTTGGAGCATAAACGGGTACACGACGCAATTCATCTTGTTACTAAGTCCTGTCAGCAGTCACGTCATCAATAAACTCATTCTATCATGTTGACAGGTGGCGTGCTGTCCTTGGAAATGGGGAGACATTCTTTCTTTCTCTTCCCATCATTGACCTGCCCCTTTTTATCTTGGTGCGGCCAGAAATTTTTCAGTCAGTCCGGAGGATATAACGTTGTGACTTGCCCCCGAGCCCAACGTGGAATGAGAAGCGCTTGCAAAAGACTTGCTGTTAGCAGACCACCACCAGATTGAACGGCGGGCTGCAAACGTCAGACGTGATGCAAACTCCCCGTTGAACTCCTCTTTTCCTCACAAACGTTCCCTTCCCTTATGCCGTCGAAATCCCATCATTCCATATCACTCTTTCTTTCCATGCTCCTGACCCCCCACGCCCCACCCCGTTCTCCTTCCCATCTGATGCTTAATTCATGGAGCCTGGCTGAACATGCTTCCTCTCCATTATTAATATAACATTAGGGAGACAAGAGGGAAGAGGAGAGAGAGGAGGAAGCGGCCGGAAACGAGGGGTGGGGGTGGACGAGAAGACAAGGAATCTGGTGAAAGAGGAAATGAAGAGAGGGCAACTGGGATGGGGTGACAAGCAGCAAGGGGAGAAAGCCTTGAGCAACCCCTCCACAATGGCCACACCAGTGCAAGAGTGACAGATGAGAAGGGAGGAAACGTGTCGGGAGGAGGAGGGAAACTGTGCAGCACGTGATACCATTGCAATGCACGCAATGTCTCCTGTCCCACCAACAGAGGTGCAAAGCATGAGGAGGAGGCAGCTGGAGAGAAATCATGCCATTCTTTTTACATGGACATGTATAAACACTTCAGAAAAGCGAAATCCAAACAGTAATGAGGACACGTTTTTTTCTCCCTTTTCTCGGGGGGGGGGGGGGGGGGGGGGTGGGGGGGTACAAGAAGGAAATGCCACCTCAGTATCACCCATGCCAGATTTCAATGTTCACGCAGTTACACTTGAGCCTCTGTGTATTCGGCTCAATGCGAAAGCAGCACGTCCTGAAATAACCTGCACACTTCCTTATTTCTCACACTCCGCTGATAGTGTTTGTGAGCGCGTGCAGTTCTCGGAGCTGTACAACCTTGGGGTAGCCTATGTCTTGAGCAGGGATGGGTAGTAAATGTGCTACATTGACTCCGTTTTAGGAAATGTCGTACCTAGTAGTTCTAATGCAACATACTGTACCTTTTACTGCAGTATTTACTGTATGTTAAGAACAAAATTGTTTCACTGCGCTACATTGAGCTAGGTTCCGCTCGCTACTTTTATTCAGCAATCGATAATTGTTTAAGATTTTATTAAGTCATTCTTATTTCATTAAGATTTATAATAAGATAAGAAACTCTTTATTAGTCTCACAATGGAGAAATTCCCAATTCACAGCAGCAAAGTTAGAAAAGGAAGAAGTAGAAGAACAAAATATAGGAGCTGCTGTAAAGGCAGCCACTCTCTTGAAGTCAAAATAACAAATTATTATTCATTATTAAGATTTATTGTTGTTTTTGTTGTTCAGCGAGATCTCAATTTGCAGGTTCATATTTTGTTTTGTTATTTTTATTTTATTTGATGTTAATGCTCTGATTTAAAAAAAAAAGACGACACAGATTTGATCAACTCGATTAGAGCGGCAGATATTTAGCATTTTATTCAAAATCACAGATCGATTGTTTTGTCCTAATTTGCCGATGGACCAATGACATCATTGATCGGATCCCCAAAATAAGATATTTAAGGCAATCTTGTTCACTCCAGGGACGTTCAGTGCTGCTCTTGTCAATAATCCAATGTTTCTCAGCATATATGGTCACTTTCTTTTGGGGAGAATTTCTAGAATTGAACAATTTTTTTTTTTCCTAATGCATGGGCGTCAATTATACGTGAATTTTGGGGCGGCCGCGTCCCAAAACTCCACAAATAACGGGGCGCGACTGTACAGTAAATAAGCTTGTTTGAATAGATTGGTCGATCTTCTAATCGGATCGGTGGTCATTTTTATTTACAAATTCGCTGACCAATGATAGGCTTCAAAATCTTGATTGCGTAGTCTAATATATATATTTTAAAAATTATTAAGTTACTCAGTACTTGAGGTTGTTTTTGTTCACAGAGTACTTTTTCAGTCTTATTCAAGTAATCACTTGGAGGACTACTTTTTAACAGTATTAGTAGTATTATTATTATTGCAATGATTTTATTACCCTAGTCATTCAGCTGGCAAATAAATGTGCACATCAGATTTCTTTCGGCCTCTGCAAGGAATGAATCCTTTCACAAAATATTTCACTTGCATATCAAGGCATCATGTAGGCCATCTTAATTTTCTGCAGACTGGTTTTACTACAATTTCCAGAATTGATATTGGCAATACCGGACCAGTATTTAATTGATATCGGATTACTACCAAACTTTCAGTCTCGCATACCACTCGTGTGTTCTTTCAGTTTAGGGCTCACAGGTCCTAATACATCCAAGTAGCATGCCCAAAGAGGGATCTCCATGGCCATTCTGGTGGCTGCATGTAGCACATCCTAAATGACTGAGTGACAAAGCAATTATGATAACAATGATTTCCTTATTACCTGTGGTCACCGTAGCAGAGAGAGAAAGTATCACGAAAGGTTAATAGGGCAGATATCCTCATGACCAAGACAGATGGCCAGCCATTTGACCAAACTTAATAACCCATGTGGTGGAGGGGGAAATGCCCTGCAAACAGTACATATGTTTGCGGACTGAGGGCAGTTTTTGATTCTATGGTCATTCACAGTTGCATCAAAGGACTGCATTGCATCGAGGATCAAGTACTCAAGCGCCTTCCTAATCATCGACATGAGGGTTCGTTGGATGAGTCAAAGGGCCAATACGGTGAGGAGACTACACATCTCTTGTAAATCACCTCAGGAACAAGGAGCGAAAACTAGTAAGTGTGGTACACTTAGTAGCACAAACTGTCATGTCACATGTGGGGACCTGAGGAAGTGAAAAGGCCTTAAAGGTTGTTTTTTCCGTGGAGGTTTTACTCTACAAAGGTTATGGGAACCAAAGGAAAAAACGACTTGGGCTGCCACCAATTTCTTGTATCATAAAAGCACAGACAAAGCAGTCTAGATTAGAAAGATGCAGCAAGCCCTCCTAGCAGGCAGTTCACAAGTGACTTCGCTGCTCTACACAAAAACGGTTGAAGAAACCTGCAAGGAAGAGAACGAGCTTCCAGAGGATTGAGATTATTTAGGTCTCATTCCTTGTGGACAACACTTTTTTGCCAAGCCCTTCAGATAATGAAGAGCCATGGAACTGTGATGCGGTTTCAATAACGGTACAGATACTGAAGATACCAGGTCCGTTATTCAGAGGCCGCCGTATATCCAGCTGGATGCACCGCAAAGAAAAAGGTGAAACGGGAGTGACCCTTCATTCTCAATCAATGCAGACCAGTATGCTGGAGAGGAAAGGCACAGGCCGGATGGCGGTGGCCATGTGCTCTTCTCCTTAATGTGCGCTAATGATCTGGTGCTAATTAAGGATTCCTAGGTGGGGGTGTGTGAGACTGGCCTCATTGTTACATCACACCAACATGTCCCTCGTGCCAGAGAAAAGAAACACTGAAGCTGATCCTCCACAGCTTGCTTGAGCAGTGAAGGTTTGTACCATATGAATTCTGGCAGTATGACCAGGTGTTGAAAGACAACTGGCGAGACACCCAGCAGGATCACCGCCGAGTCAAATGAGCCTCTGACCAATACATTTGTGGGAGCAGAAAACAGGACAGAAGGTAGAATGCCGTCTTGGGCACAGCAAGTGACAGAAATTTGAGGGTTGACCTGGGGAAACAACTGATTTCCCAAAGATATTATGTCACATGAGAAGGAACAAACACCGGGCTGATGCTCCTTAAACACATGAACTGCTCACTCCCAGCTGAGCCCCCGATCAACCACATACGATCACTGATGATGTGTTCATACACATCAAGAGATGAATTTTACGTTTGACTATTATTGATGTAATACTGTGAAAACTGTGAAAGAATGTATTGGAATGGTAAAAGCTCTCGTGTTGCATTTTATTGTAACATGCAGTTGAACCCAATGTTGTGGTACACTTGCCTTTTCTTTTTGCTTTGAGGTCTTTCATAGGAACGATTCATGCTTAACAAGGCCTTCAAATAAAATATTTGCATACACTATATATGCATCAGGTGGATTCTCCATCTAAAACTGCTGTTTTGAAAAGATCTCCATGAAGGGAACGCCCTTAAAGACTTAAAGGAGTTGAGCTGCCAAATACGTACAAGAATATGATCTCGAAGACTTATATGAGGATGATGTGAATCATCACTTTCATAGTACACAATGCAAAGGTGGGCTATGTATTTGTCAATGACAGTAAAGGGGTCTTGAGAAACAGAGAGTTGGTCCAAATATTGCTCTCAGCAAGAACCTTTTTTTTCTGTTGATATTGTAAAACATGGCAATTAAATACACCAAAGCTCAACAACAACCGATCAGTCAAAACCAGGTAAAAAGAAAGGTGCCAATCGGCTGCCAGCAATACAAATCTACACAATCTCAGTTTCGCTGAGTGAAACTTGTGCAACCAGAAAGAAGGAAATGAAGAATTGTTCCACCGCAGGGTTAAGCCTCCGTAGTGCAGTTTGTGTTTTTGTCACAGCTCTGTCTCGTGTGCAAATTCTCTCACGCATGCATGCCCGGATACACAATTCCCCACAAAAATGACACACTGGCCATTGTACACACGCAGCTGCATGAACAACCGGTGTCTTGTGTGTGCAGGTCTGCCAGCAGGGTCCTCAGATACACTTGGCCTCCATGTCGTACAATTGGAGAAGGTCAGAGATCACAGCGTCTATATCCACTTTGGTCACACCTTCACAAAGCACCTGCACACATGCACATATCTGGCCTCAAAGTGTGGACTTCAAACCACAATGATTTTCTTACCTGGAGGAAATGGGAAGCTTAACAAGCATGACTTTTTTTTAAGCATTTGCATTTAAATAGAGAACCATGCAAAGCAGAGCTTCAACAGAAGAGACCTGATTAGTGAAATTGCTTGACAATGGAACATTTTTAAGAGCACCGCCGTCCAATTAATACAACGGGATGAAGACTTTGAAGGCTGACGGGAGCTCGAGGGGTAGGTGGTATATCTTACGTTTGGTTTCAAATCGTGGATTTTTTGTTGGGGGGGGGGCGCGGGGGGTATCAGCCACATTTATCAAGAATACAAAAAGTAATTAACCTACAGAAATATCTTGAATCAGATCAAAGTGACAATAAATAAAAATCGTATGAAATGTAACCATCTAAAACCAGACTAAACTGTCTTCATTATCACCACACAGTCCCGTGTATTATTTTTCATTGCAATGTTTTTATGACACAGGTCACGGATGGGGTAGCGGTACATATTTCTGACTGGTGCAGGCAGCGTGGGTTCAGTTCCCATTTAGTGATGATGTAGATGTGAGAGTGATTGTCTCGCCATATCTTGGTGCAGTATTAAAAAAAATAAAAAAAGAAATAGAAAGTAGTTTGATTCAAAATAAATAAATAAAACTGCATGAACCAAATACTAATTAAGACCCAATACATACCTGCCACCATCGTTTCTCCCCAACAGGGAGCTCCACTCCATAGCTGTTGAGAGCCAAATACAGTGTTGCTATGGCGATGTGTTGGGGCATGTGCCGGATACACATAGACCCATGATAGCAGTCTCGAAGCAATGCCCAGGAAGTCTCAGCAACAGGGCATCGAGACCAAGCATGGCGGTTCACCAGCGACTTGACGGACATCACATAGTGGAGTAGATACTAGAGAGAGGGTGAAACAGATGACCCACTAAATACCGCAGACTTGATTCAGAACAGCCATTCAGGCTAGAATTAATAAAGTACAGGGGAAACTGAAAAAAAGAGATAGCGACTGTAAGAGTGGACGCAAGGATTCTGGTCTACGCGTGACAACATCGAGGAGTGCCATGCTGAGCAAAGGATTACTCACTCCAGCACACACGTACACGCAGACGCAGACACACCTTGTGTGGGTGTTCAAAGGAGACTTGGAAGTTAAGTTGTCGAAGGATGAGGAGCTCACACTGCACCACACTGTCCCGCAGGTCCCAGAACTCCTTGTCACATTCTAAAGGGGGGCTGCCACTGTTAAAGTACCTGGGAAGTGCGAGAAGACCATTCAACAGAGTGAATGTGGACACGTTAGAATGTTTACATGTGGCTTTTTAAGGGAACACAAGCAATATGACCAATCTGCTCCTGTGTTTGCATCCTGATACAACGCTTGGGGACACAACATTCAAGCAATTCAAAAAGATTGTTGTAGGTACAATGCAAACTGTCTGTTTGATATCAGCTTTACTTTTAAAAGCAAAAACATTTAGAAATGGGTTTACAAAGGCTTTTCACCTTTCTGTCTCTCAGCTGCGTGTCTTGATTATGTTCAAGACAGGCAGGCAAAAACAATGCGGAAATGATACTGTCACAATTTGGAAACATTCGTATTAGACAATAGATCACGAAACCTAGTAAAATTTGTAAAGATCAAGTCAACTATGGTATTTGGCACACTACAAAATGCAGATTTTGCTGACAAGCAAAATAAATACATCATTTTGAGGGAGAAAATAGTTGTTCTTTTTATGCACAAAAATATACTGAAAGTGTACCGAACTGCAGTCCAAAAACAAAAAAAAAAAACAAACCTTAGCATGGGTTACCTATACTGTCCAATGTCTAGTTCCCAGGCGTCTTGTAACTAAATGAGATGATGATCAAGAATTATAGAAATATTTGTACACTGCAATTCCTGGAGTGTAAGAGCCTGTAAAGCCTTCTCTGCTGGACTAAAAACGAACATAAGCACTGGCCTACATATACAACCTAAATTCTAAAATAAATTAAAAGAATATCTATGAAATTGTATTAATTTATGACCAACAAGGTGTTTTCTTCATTTTAACAAGCATTTTATAATGGTTGTCAACCTTTAGCTATCCATCATTTTACCAGCCATCATTTTACAATCCAGCATTCCCTCATACACAAATATTTTTACCTGTGGCTTACGTTGATGATGTCACGGGTCCTTATGTGCTGCTCCTCCACTTTGCCTGCCAGGTACAAGCAGCTCATGGCCACCAGGTAGGGTTCATAGACACTTAAGCTGACACGTTTGAAGAAGTTGTGGTACAATACACACGCTGTAGCAACAGGCACAGACCGCATGCCCAGCTTAACTCCTGAGAAAGAGATGAATATTCATTATATTTCATTAATTTCTTTATTCAAACAGATTTGTTCCCTAGAAAACAGCAGGCTTTCACATCAAGATGAGCCAGATTAGGTGGGTTGGGCATCTGGTTAGGATGCCTCTTGGACACCTGGTGAGGTGTTTGGGGCATGTTCCACCAGGAGGTGACCCCAGGGATGACTCAGGAGACGTTGTAGAGACACTGTCCGGGCAAGCCCGGAACCGCCTAGGGATCCCCCTGGAAGAGCTGGACGAAGCAGCTAAGGAGAGGGAAGTGAGGGCTTCCTTGCTAAAGATACTGCCCTGTGTAAGGGGAAGAAGATGGAAAGGGACCCTTGACCACATAAATGCACTGCGAAAAAAGTCAGCACTTTGTGTAGACTTGGCCAACCTCTAAGATAAAGCAACCAAGTTCAGTATGAGAAACACAATACTTTTACATCTCTGCAAACTTCAACCGCAGTTAGAAAAGTACTGACAACTGTTAATGTAAGGAAAGCATAACTTTCTGCTAAAGGGCAGAATTGTGGCAACAGTACAGCTCAGTGCATTGGATCTCACTTACTGTGTATTCATAGAAGAGATGAGTTGCTGGTTACCTGCTTCCATTATGAAGCGACACACGCGAAAGTGTGTTTTCATGTCCCGAGAAATGTCCGCCTCTCTAGCCGGGCCAGAAGACCTCCCGGCAGCCGGAACCAGATCCCGAGCGGCGGAAGAGCGAGACGACGGACCCGGTTCCATGACTTCTGGAACATGAGCACTTTTAAGTAACTTATTACTAGCTTGCGCAAAACATTTTAAAAGACCAAGTTACACACAAACAGCGGCGACCCGGGGCACGTCAGCAACTGTTGTCAAAAAAAGTGAACGGAACACTTGTGACTAAATGTTTTAACATGCTTGCAGCATGCTACAGCTAACGGCAAAAGGCAGCTCTCAGAAGTAAATAATAGAAGATCCGGTCAAATGCGGAACACAAACGCTATTAATCATGTACCTAGATTGATTTTAAAACCGTTCACTCACTTCCTTATTCCCTAATCACTATATCAGTTCACAATGTGGGTCACTCATTAAATGAAAAATAGTTTTGGAACATTGCTCAGGCGAGACGTTAACTAGGTCTTGCTGTCGCATTGGTTTTACGTCATTAGTGTCGCATAAAACACGGACTGCCCTAATTTACGAAAGAGTGAACAAATACATGATAATTCTCAAATGTTTTCACAAGTGTTGAGAGATAATAATTAATGTAACACTATTACTGTGTTATAAAAATATTTATGGTTAATATTTAACCTGCAGGCAAGCAAGAATGAAGCCGCACACTTTCCATGATGCTTTGCAGCGCAAAAACAAGAAATGATGAAATCTAGAGTTGCCATTAAATTATTTTTACATTAAACTGTTTTTGATTAATCGTTTTTTATTAATTATTTATTTATATTATATTTCCCACTGCTTTCCCAGCAACAAGTTATCTTTGTGCAAACTCCGTCATATGAGAAAAGTTGGCTGAGCAATTTATAACAATCAGCGTACCTGTAGTTCGGGGACAAAGTTACTGTATCTTTGTTAGGAGGCTGGTTTCACCATACTATGCTCATCTTAGGTATAGCACGCATATGTGGATACAGCATGATGGTGTATCCACATATTGGACTACATAGTATTGGCTACAAATTCAGCAAACTATATTCGCAAAATGATGCCATAATGGCCAAATACAACTAAATGTCATTGTTCAGTCATAAACCCAAAACAAGACCTGTTGGCACATCCCCAAACAGCACGTGAACGAGAAGACCTTTGCTCATCGCTCTACTTTTCCACATCCAATATGGCAGTGATGTTGACGTTCAAATCAGCGTTCCTTATCGTACCCATGCACCAATGCCTCTAATCTATGGTAACGTTCGTACAGAACAACTAATAACGCTCAATCCTTACCATTAAATATAGTTCACTCATATGTAAATATAAATTAATTTATCACAAACGCCGCACTGGACCTGTCAACGCTCCCGAGTTTTCTGAACTTTCGACAGAATTATGTCACGTGGTTGCGTTGCTATGCAACGAGTTGGTTCAACAAGCTAATTTGTAAACAGTCGCAGAAATGTCGTCCAATTACTCAGCAAACCAGGTAAATATCGACGCTTTAAAACTGTGAACTTTTGTGTTTCTCACATAAACATTGTAACCTTTGTTTCCATCATTAGTACGACGATGCCTTCAGGCCTCAGAGGCTGCAGAACTGGTGCCAGGCGAAGCAATCTAACAAGGTCGCTAATGTTAGAACAGCAGTTTTATTATGATGGCAGAAGTACGTTCCAAAGGTAGCATTGTCACCATCTAATACAGGAGTGTCTTTTTCTTTTTTTTTCTTGGAAGGGCCGCATACTGAAAAATCGAAGAATGCGGGGACCATGTTGATAATCAACTTTAACACTTAAAAAACACGTCTGCGTATTTTTCAAGATTTTTGGCTCGCTCTCGCCCCTGCAACCCACATTATTATCAGCCCTGTGCTCAGATGCAACAGAAGCACATATCAGCATTCACTCAACTCCATTTAACTCTATTTATAGAACACTTTAAAAAACAAATTCTGCAGCTGAAGGAAAGTGCTGTAAAGTGTACATAAATACAAATTGAACATAAAATGTAGTACTAAATTAAAAAAAAAAAAGTTAGACAGTTCTAGTGGCTCTCACTCACCTTTTTAAATGAGATGAATTTTTTTTTTCCTGCCTTTACACATAGAGTAGAAAGTAAGCAGTATGACCTGCGCCAAATATTAATTTTAATAGCCAACACCACAGTCTGCTAAAAATTGCAATAGCCCCTCGCTATAGTTTTGGACACCTCCGTATAATGTGTGCGTGTGTCTTTAGGCATCCAAAGCACGGAGGGGCCACACCATGTTTATTGCAGATAACAGAGGTCATCTACTCCCTGGAATGGCAAAGGTAAAGCCTTAAAAGCCGGCGTTATACAGTTGTGGTTCTGCATCAACGTGACCTCCTATGCCATTGTGCCATGCACCAGAGAGGCAGTGCTTGGCCTGACTTTAAAGGGACATGGGATCTACCTGCTCGTATACCAGTGCAAAGAGTCAACCCAACTAGCCGCTCTGTGGAGGGTCTTGAAAGGCTCAAGGCCTGGGGCTTGGACCCTCAACCCAGAGGCAAATCTATGCCACGAAGAGGGAGCAAAAACACAGATGCTGCACAGGATACTAGCAAGCAGGTTCGACCTACTTTATTGACAGCCGCTGTCTCACGTCTGTGTACGCACGCACGCAGGCACACGCGCGCACACACACACACACACACACACACACACACACACACACACACACACACACACACACACACACACACACACACACACACACACACACAGTTTATTTTTCCTTTACTGTCCATACAGGAGATCATAAAGCTAGATAAAACAACACTGACTTTGACAGACATAACGTTTGAGCTTCATTTCAAACTGAGTCTGAAGTAGCAAAAAGCAAACGGCATTTTGAAAGACGAAAAGCACAAGACTTTTTAGCATTTCCCCTTACAGGGTACTGTGTCAACTGGTTTGTATTTTTGCATGTGCAAATACAAGCTGCAGTGAGCCACATTCCTCACGTAAGTGGAAATGGGAAAAGAGAAACATAAACTTATACTGAGCACAAGGACGGCGACTCTGCGAACGACTAGTAGTGAGCTCTCTCAGCTCGAATTCGAACAATTAAGGAAAGTAAGCAGAAGGATAAATAACAGCTTTCTCCCCACAGCTGTTTAATGTTGGTCCTACTGTACATTTCTTAAACTACTTTGTGATTGATTTAATCAGTTTTGCCTTAAACACTTGAAACAGCAGAAATCCACACTTACATACATTTATTATACCACTTAATTCTCTCTAGGGTCACGTGTTAGGCAAATTACAACCCACATTGGTCACTACTCAGTCACAGGATACATATTAGCGATAGACAACTATTCAAACTCACACTCACTGTATGGTACCACTATATCATGAGTGACTTACAAATAATTCCATTCATCCAACCATTATCTGATCCACTTACACTCACGTGGGTCGCGGACGTGCTGGAGCCTATCTTGGCCGTCTTTGGGCAGCAGGCATGGTACACTCTAAACAGCCAATCGCAGCGCACACACAAATAAGCAATCATTCACGCTCACAATCACGCCTATGGACAATTTCAAGCATTCACTCAACCTACCATGTGTGTTTTTGCAATGTGAGTGGAAACTGGAGTGCTCAGCGAAAACCCACGCAGGCATGGAAAGAACATGCAAATTCCACACAAGAAGGCCGGGGTTGTAAACGAACCTATGACCTCTGCACTGTGAGGCGGACATGCTAACCAGTTGACCACCATGCCGCTGTATATATAAAATAAATAAATAACACGTTTAACAACTGTGTACCTTGAAACAGTTACAAATTTAAAAAGCATGATAACTTGTAACTGTGGAATTTATTTACAATTTTAAATTGGAGAAATTTTCCAATTAACCTTTTCAACAATTATTAAAAAAAAAAAGATGTCTTGTAACTTTTGTAATATTTTTAGTTTTAATTTCATATAACTGGCCATAAATGGCCCCCGGGAAAGACTTGGGACACCCCTGAATTCGTGTTTGCAAATTGACACGAAACCAGTCAAGGGTATGCCCAGTGACCGTTACGCTTGGAGGACGACAGATATAAAAAGTGGATGGATGGATCTCCAGGATAAGCAGAAGAGGCAACTATGATAACATTACAGGCGCTTCGCTGAGCGTCATTATCATAAAATGTGCTTCTACTCTGCTTATTGTCAAAAAGGTTCTCCCCGTGGACAGTAATGGCGCTAAACCCCTACAATGTCTGTTGGCGGTGAGTGGCACACTTTGTGGTCATCTACCCCGACATTTGAATTCACTGCTTTATTTGGACCTACTACACCAGTAAATATTCAAATCTGTCCTCTCACAATAATTTCAGACTGGGGGTGTAGAACAGGATGGTGCGGTCTCACCCTCCTTGGCCCCATTGGCAGCTGAAGCCCAGCAAGCGTCACAGAGTCGTCCCATTTCTGCACACCAAAGAACTGCCAACCAGGGACAGGACACGGAAGCAGATGAAGTATCATCTGTCACTCTGCCTGCCACGGACAGGCACAATGCTAGCAAGACTGTGACAAGCTGGCCGCTGAGCCAAAGGGCAATGTCAGCTTTGCTGCCCATGACACGACAAAGCCACCAAGCAAGGCCTAATACTGGACCGATGTCAGCCCCACTCTAATGAAAATAGTAAATACATATTAGCCCCTTTTCTAAATTGGGACGATTGTACTGATGCACCAGATCAAACTACTGTAAAAATAGAAGTTTCTAAGAACTGTCATTTAAATGTGATACCTCTCTGGTCTCACAGCTGAACAGCTGTCCATTTAGAATGCCCTTGAGAATTCTGGAGTCAAATGTTTCAAAGTGTTGTTGTAACAGGAGAGCTTGTTTTGCAATTTTTGTAGCAACTCCTATTTCAGTATTTCCAAAACTTGAACTGAAGAAAAGTAAAGAAATGCACGTTTTCCTGTCACACCCAGCAGAAATTAGACAAGCAGGACTATGTGGCTGGCATAGTATTGGTCAGGTTCAAGAAAGCTCATTCTGCAGAGCTCTCAGTGTTGACATACTTGCATGTTGGAGCACACAATGGAAATCCATTTTAAGAATTTTGAGGAAAAACAGAACAATCCCCTGAACACAGATTGGCTCTCAACCTATGACTTGTGACTCAACTCAAAAAAACCTCATGAAACACATGAGTCACCACATCCTCACCACCTCCAAATCGACAGCTACTAATTTAGGAATAGTGAGTGACTGAATTAATACACACATTCTCCAGATACTTTGTATTTACTTCGACCATATCGCTTCAATAGGTTGTTGACAAACGCTGTTTGTGTACTTTAATTTGAGAGAGCGACAAGAGAGTTTAGAATCTTTCATAGCTGATAGTGTCTAACCAAGCACATTGGTTGAACACATTTGGACATTTGATGAACAAAGACTGTATTAGAGAAATCTTGATTGTGTCTTTCAGTTCAAATATGAAATTTTAGCTATTTTCACCACTGCAGCTCAGTTCAGATTTTCCTTCCCATATGTGACATGTATGTGATTTTTTTTTCATGCAGTGTGAACAGCACAATTTCGATTTTTCCAAATCCATTCTGAGCCTCTTTCATATCATATCAAGTCAAGCCAAGCTTTATTGTGTGTGTGGATATAAATCGGATGTGTATGTGATGTGTCTGCAGTACGAACGCTCATCCGTACACATCTGACCTATTGGTCACCAGAAGCCAAATATCTTCTGTGCACAGGCCGGGGAGAGTAGAGGGGACTACTGACAATCATCCATGAATCTGCATTGTTTTGAGTAATAGTGCTGAGATTACGTTTGACTTCAAATTAAAACATGAAGCATCGAGTGGACATTTGTGATTGTAATTCAGCCATGCAGACAGTTCATTTATTATGTTGCAGCAATGATGTGATGTCAATTTAGTAGACGTCTCCTTTACATAAAGAGAGAGAGAGGAGCGTTGCCTCGGGTTCCCAAAATATTTCTACGTCCTCCAACCTTGCTACTCTAACGATATGTATTTTTCCTGAGCTGCTGCACCTCCCTTTGGAGTGCTCCGGTGCCTCATCCCCTTGATTTTAAAACCCCTACTAAACCTGACACCAATTCACATTTGTGCTTGCTGTGAAAGTGAGTTGGGCTTTGTTGAGATCCTGATTTTCCTAATGATGATCCACTCCTTCTGCCCAGCGGTGACTTGTATCCTCAAACACGAAGAGGCGGACCGATAGTTTTTATCTACCTGCTGCATCACAAACCAACCATTGTCCAGAGATCCCAATATATGGAAATCCTTGCAAGTTTTCTCCCTTTCTGCAGTGGCGATCACACTGTGTCCTATCTCCACCTGCGCTGAGCCCAAGATATCTTTCCCCTCTGACCCAGTCTCTACAGTTATTTCTGTCACCACTCTTGGGTCTGTGAACACCACAGTCAAATGGTTGCCTTTCTCTGGGGAGAGGCCCCAGAAGAATCCTTCCCCAGCATCCCAGGCTAGTTTGGGAAAGTGTTTCTTATAGGTGGACATGTCAGAGAAAACCTCAGCTGGAGGATTGGAGTAAACACTCTCCTCAAAGTCCTTGTCTTTTAGATTGTTATAGGTCCCTTGGAATGAGGAGAAAGTTCCTATGTGCTGGAATAATGAAGGCTTGAAAAGGATGGGCTCCTTCTGAGTCAGCAGCAGTCGAAAGTGAGACATCAACCAGTCGCAAGGCATTTCTTGATAGAAGAGGAAGAGAAAACGTGCCAGCAGAGGGAGATGAGCCGATTTGTAGAGTTTCCCAATGTAGCCAAGGCTTGAGAACTCTAGCATTGCCCAGGTTGTCTTCTTGGCTTCCTGCTCCTGAATGTACTTCTTTATGGTAGTGGGAAAGTTCTTTGCGGAGGAGACGTCGTCCTCCAGCTGAAGGTAGTATCTGCCGAGGCCTGCGCTGTAGTGCACAAGAAAGGCATAATCCAGGTTCTGCTTGGAGCGGAATGATACTCTTTCTGGTGAATCATTGTAGTTCCGCTTTAGACCTATAGGGGAGTCAGAAAGAGACGCTATTTAATATTTAAACACAGGTGACCTGGATTTTATATATATATTGAGAGGGAGAGAGAGAGAGAGAGAGAGAGAGAGAGAGAGAGAGAGAGAGAGAGAGAGAGAGAGAGAGACTGGCTGTTTCTGATATCTGTTTGACAACAGGCGCTTATACAAAACAATTAAATTCAATTACCAATGCCAGATACATGCTACTAGCACCTCCCCGTCACTCAGCGCGCACCCTCTCGACAATGAATTAGTGTATAATATTTGCGCTTAACCTGCAGTAGGTGGATAGCGTTCCTCAGGAACGTGAATGACCAACAGGTGACCTTGCTGTAGCGCTGAAGAGAATTGTGATTTTATCTTCGTCACTGTGGTCGTCAGCCAGTTGATGTCAAAATCTGCAAGCAGCACTACAACCACCATGGAGGAGCGCTCTTCAGGAGATGATTGGGAGAAGAGTGACACTAATGTGGAGATCAGATAGCTGTCCTTCTTCCTCTTCACCGATGATATTCCAATACATAGATACCCTGTCGGGGAAAAAGGCGTGAACCTCTATATATTTTATATATATATA